CGGAAGCAGGGAACTGCTAAGGCAGCTGCATCCTGGTGCGACCATCACAAAGCAAGAGACCCGAGATCTTGAAAGGCGACGCTCACTGAGCCATCTATCCCTCCGCCCTTCAATTAACCCCACCTGTGTTTATGTGCCAGGTTGGCACAATAAACTAACTAACTCAGGTAGTGAGAGCAGGCACTGTGCTTGGTAGAGAGTCCGTGAAAACGATGGAGACCTTCAGTGCGATGGACTGGCACGGTGGCTTCAACAACAGTTGTAAAGATGGGACATGAGTGGGAAGGGTTCTGTTTTGTTGTACGTAAGGCCACTGTGAGCTGGAACCAATTCAACAGCACCTAACAACAGTGCACGCGTGCACGCACACACAGCTACTGATAAAGATATACCACTACCAATCTGAAAGATCTTCAAAAATAGAAACCGAAGCATGAAATTCTGGCACTGGTAGCAGCTAAGAAGTCAACAGTTGAGTAAGCTAACTTCACTACTGAGGTACCTGTGATCCACTAATGACTTAGAGTCATTCTTCTGGGTCCAGTCTGTTCTAAAATATGTCCTGCTCCAGCCTTATAAATGGAAAAGAAAAAAAAATATTCAAAAAAAGTTTTTAACTTGTTAGGCTTGATTAGAAAAGATTGAGAACTAACTTCTCAAAACTAAAAGAAGGGAGGGAGGGCAAGGAGGAGACGGACAGGAAGTGAGTAGGGGACACTGGGAATTCTTCAGCGGGCAGTATGTTGATGGCAGTGACTGCGAGGGCAGTAGTGATGCTGCTTCTGTGCTGGTGTCCTTGGATGGGAAATGAAGGGCATGCACTCCTACCTCTGCGAAATGCTTTGCACACCAAAGAGGCCTCTCTTTGGCTTGCTGCAGTGGTTCTCAACCTGTGGGTCGTGGCCCCTTTGGGGGAGGAATGACCCTTTCACAGGGATCACCCAATTCACAACAGTAGCAAAATGACAGTTATGAAGTAGCAGCGAAAATCACTGTGTGGTTGGGGGTCACTGTATGAAAGGGTCGCAGCACGAGCAAGGTTGAGAACCACTGCCTTGGTGCCTTTAATGGTCTTTCACTCGCCTTCTGCCTTAGTTTCACTGACCAAACACAGACACGACTCTGTCAAACACAATCGTCGCTGGCCATTGAGCATCTGTGCACCCCTGCGACCTTTGGTCCTGGGTCTGGCTCTCGTCACATGACAAAGGGCACCTCACACGGTAGTGATCCCATGATCCTGGAACACTGGAAGGTTCACAGGAGACCAGAGCAGCTTCTATTTCATGGAGGGCTAGGACTCTTTCTGCTAGATCAACAGAAATCCTACGTCGGGCCGGGATAGAGAGTCGGAACTGACTGGATGACAATGGATTGAGTGAGTGTGAATACTCA